ACGTGACACTTTGTATTACGTATGGAAAGCGATAATGTTGTAACACTTAAAAACTCAACTTTTCACTGGAGCCAAAACAAAAATTGCAAAAACGAAAGAAAAAAAATCGTTACTCAGAAATGGTTCGAGATTTTTGTGACAATTTTAGCAAATAAAGCTATAAAAAATAGGACTTCTCAACAATAAACTCGGATTTGAAATAGTCGTACTCCTAATGATGATTATGTGGGTTACGACAATATGATTTTCAGATTTGAACCCCAGAGAATGCTGTAACTTTCAAGTTAATTTGTAAGGAGGTGCAACTAATGCCATGAATTTACGGTATTCTAAGAGTGATGTAAATGAATTAGAGCTCTTTAACACATTTTTGGTCTTTAAATGTGAACTTCTTGAAGATGTACTAAATTCAATACTGCTGTCAAAGTATTTTTTAAACCAAAGCAGGTAACATTAAAATGGTGTTAGTGAAAATCACATGCAATTTACATGGCTTTTAAAATGTTTATTATTAAAAAGAACCACTATTTGTGGAAAAGACTTTGGTCTGTACAATTAAACAAATCGAATTGTAATATTGGAGATTTAAGACAATAAAACAAAATCATTGACACTTTGTACGCCATATTACATCGTTCTTAGAACTGATAAATTATAAATTCCTTAAATTCCATAAAAGAATAATAATCAACAACTAATCTTACTCTTGATTATTAGTTTTTCATTTTCTGTTCTTACATTTTCTATTTTAGTTTATTGCCTGGAACCTACAAGGAAAAAGATTATCTACATGTTAAAGATTTAAAATTATTACGTGTTAGTAAAAATTCAATAATAAATAAACCACCCCTATTCCTCATAGGCACTAGGTAATGAACGAAAACAATAAAAATATAGAAACATTTTATCATGATTGTAATATAAATTAAAACCGTTTGGTTTTAATTTATGTTCATCCATTAAGCAGACTTCTAAATTTAAAAAAAATATATTAAAATTAAACCTTCTAAATAGTGTCGTAATTCCTTGTCATATTCCATGAACCGCACTTCGAATTAATCAAATACAATATCATATAAAAATACAAAAATGTAAAAAAAACCATGACACGTGGTTGTATTTTATTAAGACCAGAAGCTTTCGTGTGTGTACCAGCATCAGCAGGAACTGATTGGGTCTCAAAAGGGGAGGACTATACTTTAAAGTAAGGGCTATACTTTGTTTCAACCCATTTTGAACAAAATGTAAACAAACAAGTCACTGACCCGACCATAAACGGTTTGTGATGGCCAATTGTAATGCCAACTACAAATCGATTAATTAACTGAATGAATCGATTTGTTCAATTGAGTCTTAACGGTTTTCCCTACATAACCTATATAAGCATATTTAAATTTTCCGAAATCTTAATTTTAATTCCTCCTTCATATCGTTACGCTATATAGATATAGATACTCAATCGATTGCGATTGAAATTTTCGATTTACTAATCGATTACAAAAACTTTAATGGAATAAACCCAATGTTTTTTTTCGTACAGCACTGTGCAACTATGGACAATTCATGGATGTGTAGATGAAAAATAACCTCAGTTTTGGACTACTATTTTTCAAATACTATTTTACGATGCTATTCAAATGAATATTGTAGGAAAAAGTGAAGAAATATCAAGCCGAAATCTTCAAAATGTACGTGAAAGTGTTACTCATTCAAACAGTTTTGTTTACTTTTTGTTCAAAATGGATTAGAACAGACTATACCTACCTTTCTCACTTTGTACACACTGCCCAGAGTTGTGCATGCTCACCGAAAGCCGCGCCGGGAAGCGACAGGTGCACCTACTCTACACAACGAAGTTTATTCGTTCGCGTTATTAGGGTTGTCAGAACGTATAATTTAACATTTTGATGACCATTTCGAGTGCTTTGATTTTTACATTTATAGTAAATAAAACATGATACTTTCAGCTTTGTCGGTCATTCCGTTTCACGCTGTATATATGCATATAATGATTTTCGTATAAATGTCTGAGCGTATTTAACAATATTTCAAATCACACACGTCTACACTTAGGTATAAGCAATAAACTTTATCTTCTACAAGATAAGGGTACATTTTACTAAACAAAAAATTAAAAGGAAGATAATGCAATGTAATATTGGACAATTGTCAACAAAATAAGCTATACATTTTCTCTAACAAAAAAGCTCGTTTAAAGCGACTGCCACCTTTGCGTCTTTCGAAATTCTGGTGGTAACGGCACTGTGTCTTTATTAGAGTCAGTTACCTGTTTGCTTGGAATAGTACGTGGGTACGTTGCTTCGTATAATTGTATTTTCAGCCCCCAGGTATACCCTTTCAATGATCTGGAGCGAGTACTGACCATGGTAGTGATGGTGACCGGTAACCTCACAGGAATAGGCTTCACAATAGCCAACTTGGCTATTGTAACCTCAGTGGTCTTCCAGCACGAGGAATCATTTCGCGCAAGACTTGCGGTCATTACGAACGACATGGTAAACATCTCTTTGTAAATGCTTCCAGCCTCTTTACTTTATAAAAATAATGATAAGGATCTTAGTAAACATTAAAAGTACGGGCACTTGCAAACCACATCTTGGAAATTTGTAAATTTGTTAGGAAACATCCAGTTTTTTTTAGTACGCGGATGGACCCAAAACATGTTATACATAATAATAAAAATAAATAACTAATACCTACATCCCGAGTCAAACTACATTCATCAAGCACACTACTATGGCCGTAAAAATAAGAGACACTGCTCAACTTGTCGATTTTGATAATAAACTTAAAGAGCTAGTAATTAAAAAGCATATTACACAGTTAACGAATATTTAAGCGATAGACTATAATAAAACATGTTATACTTACATTGCAAACTCCATAATCAATCCTACTATTTTTTAACATAAATAAATATCTTAGAAATATCAATCAATACATAAACATGTATTTAATAGAATGTAAATGATGTTATTGGAAAATATTTCAATGTTATGTAAATGTAATAGATACTAATTATTATACATAGTAACTGGGTTACAACTAGGTAATATAGAAGCTTGTAAAAGCTACAAAATTTCTTATCTAATATTATAAAATGCAAAATGTCAATATACTATAATGATAACTGGACCCTTAAATGTACTAAATATTGAAAATCCTCTCCTCTCTAAATAAAATTTGCTGTACAGGGCCCATAATGCGGTTGAACTGTGTGTGGTCTTTCCTATTGCGAATTCTGAACATGCGCATTCACCGAAATTTTCAGGTGGAAATGCGAGTTCCTAAGCAGCTACGAGAGAAGGTCAAGACTTTTTACAGAATGTTTTGGCACAAGCAGAAAGCCATTTCCGGCTCGGTACTGATGCCTACTTTTCCGCCTACTACCTTCAACCACATTTATTCGGAAATCTATTTTGAGGCTCAGCAAAAGGTGAAGAACTTTTACAAAAAAAAGATTTAAACTTCATTGTTACAAACATACATACATATTCTATCACTATCTGTCCTGCTTTTGGATCGAAAAAAGGCCTAACGCACAACTAACACTTTTATCAAAATGAGTTATATACATATTCGGTATCAAGAAAAAAGGTCTATTTGCCACATTTTTTTGTAGAAATCAATACAGTAAGCTCAAAAGACACAACTGACATCCATAAACAGATTTTCTACCATAATAACTTTATTAGAAAAGAAAACCGACCTTAAAATTTCGTGGAATTACATCTATTTATTAAATTTTTATTGAATTGATATTCAATTATTTTTTGTGAAATTACTCCACTAGTAATTTTTTCTGAGTGCTTTTTCTGAGTGATCTTTGTATTAATAATTATTACATCTATTTGCCAAGTTTTTTTTGAAATGGGTTACCGGAAAGTGCGCCAAACTGGATTCATCCCCTAGTTGGCCACCCTTAGCGGTGGAATATTTGTATCAAATTAAAATGGGACCAACACTGAGGTAACCTCTTTTCAACAAAGTAAGAATTATCAAAATGGGTTCAATGTTTGTTTTTGGTTTGTAACGACTCTCTGGCCTTAGCGCCAGCTGTGAGAAATGTATCGAAGATTTTCAAGTTTGTTTTATTGTTGACTCAGAGTCGTATACTTCGGGATTTACCTAATCAGTTCCTGGAAGAACTCGCTAAATCGATGACAACAATCAATTACATCCCCGGAGACTGGATCATCAAACGCAAATCCACTAAGGCTTCCATTATTTACATTGCCTACGGAGATATCGAGGTAAGACCATAGATATTGAAAAAAAGGGGAGATATGTAATGACGTTATGTAAGATCGGGTGCCGCTGTCGCCACTCTTTAGCTTGTGTGCAATTCAAACTTTACGCTCTATTATCTACTACCATAACTTAAAGATTTAGATTGGGTAGGGCTTAAAACGTGAAAACGACGTAACACAATTTTAAAATTTAACAAAATTAAACTTACAGTCACTTGAATAAGAGTTATATTACAATATTTCAGTAGTATTTTCATTCTGGTTCAGCCATTCACCAATGACGGTTAAGTAAAAATACTACTAGTATATAATACCTAACTATTACACGTTAGATGGCGCTGAAACTCATTTTTCGTTTCACTAAGAACTCACGGAGCGGGTTTCACCCGCGTCTGCCGCGGGACCGCGGCGTCTGTAGAATGTAACAGTTAAGTATGTAAAATTAGTAGCACATTTCACGGCGCGTTTTACGCCTGTAGTGGTGACGGTTGTTTGCGGTTGCCGCGGCAGGGTACTATTACTGGCGGCCGTCGTGTCGCCCGCACACTTTGGCGGTTGGTTCAGGCGCAATGTGGTGCAGGCGCACGCAGGGTGAGTTCTCTATTAACCGCGCGACTTGCAATTAACTCCCACTAACTTCGCGGTCCGTTCTGCAATCGCAACGGTTTCGTGCCCGCAACCGCGGCTGCTACATGCTCGCTGCACAAACTTGCAGGGTCATGAGTATTGAAATAAAACCGCTGTCTAGCAGCGCCGGCGGGCGCGGATGGAAACCGCTCCGTGAATTGTTAACCTTATTAACCTTAAACTGACGCTACTCAACGAGTGATGTGGTAATCGATAGTTAGAAACCATGTGGCTGTTTTTAATATTAAAAAAAAATATTCCATTTTTCATACTATATCTACACTGGTACTGGTGTATTATTAAATTAATATATTAATATAAATTATTATTATTTTCTTAATGGCGGCCACTAGGCTTGGACCAGTGTCAGTTTTATAAGAATAACTAGATGCCGCGCGATGCGCCGGGCCGCTAAAGCGGCCCGCGAGGGCTTTCTTTGTATCTGGTGACAAATTGGGAATTGAACTTCCTACTTCAGTAGAGAATTCTTTTTGTTTGACTTTGAGTGGGAATCGCTGCCATTGTTTTGCGAATTTTGTTTTTTTTTTACTCCCGGTAGAAACTGCCCAAGGTGTAGAGCAACATTTGTTTGGATAGGGCTAAAACGTATATTTCGCCCGTGCAGCTGGGGTCCTATCTGATGCGGAGCACTTTTCGAAGGTTTTGGTACTTTCTGATACTCACCAAATCAACCCAACCATTATTCGCATACATTACTCTTATATAAGTATTACTTGTATACCCGCTCTTCTTCTGGGAGAAAAATGCTGGTAAAAAAACCGAAAATTCACTGGTATGGTGGCCATCTTGGAAAATGGCGGGATCCAAATTTCGCTCGCAGATACATACTATGAACCTCCATACACGATCGGTTTTCAAATTTCAGTCGAATCAAAGCACTTTTATTTCGGGACGCCATTTTGAGTACGCCATCATGAAATTTTCTTTTACCTGCAGTTGGCTCGTACTATTCTGTACGACATTTGTTTGAGCGCCTCTCCAACACTCGCCAAGATGTGGGCCTTAAAGCATATTATTGTTACCATGTTAGAAAATGGCGGAATCAAAAATTTGATCGCATATCCTTATTACGAGCACCCAAACATGAAAACGTATAAAATTTCAGCCGGATCGGAGTATCTTTTTGTCGGGCCGCCATCTTGAATCGGCCATTTTGAAAAAATAATTTCGACAGCCAGTTAGATCCTGTCGCCCTCTACGATATTAGTTTGAGCACGATCTACCTATCTCCAATAGTTACCGAGGCACAGGTCCCCGAAATGTGTATGGCGACCATTTTTTTTTTCGAATTTTTAATTTTTTTCACTCCCGGTAGAAACTGCCCAGAGTGTGGATAAACATTTGTTTGGACACTTTGAGCCAAGACGCGTACTTTGGTCGGGCAGCTGGGGTCGTACCTGATGCGGAGCTCGTTTCGAAGATTACTTTACCTTCTGATACTCATCAAACCTGTCCGACCATAATTCCCCTACATCATTTTTACCAACCCGCACTTCTTCTGGGAGAAAAATGACTCCAAAGGGCAGAAAATTCATGTGTTTGGCGGCCATCTTGGAAAATGGCGGAATCGAAATTTTGACCCCAGTTTCCTATTGTGGACTCCCATATACGGCCGCATGCCAAATTTCAGTCGGATCCGAGCACTTTTATTTTAAGACCCCACTTTGAGTCGGCCATCTTGAAAAAATTTTTTGACCCCCACCGCCCTCTATGACATTTGGTCGAGGACCCCCCGCCCATCTCCAGTACTTGCCGAGCTACGGGGCTCTGAAATTTGTATGGCGGCCATCTTGTTTATTTGAATTTTGAATTTTTTTCACTTCCGGTAGAAAGTGCCCAGGGTAGCGGCCATTTTTAGTTTGACGATCCTGCCGGTAGGTGTTATACTTTGGCCGCGATGCCGGGGTCCCACTTGATGCAGTGCACTTTTCGAAGATTTCGGATTTTTCTGGTACTCACCGGAGCCATCCGATCACGACTCCCGTACATCATTTTGACCCACAGCGGCTCCTTCTGGGAGATCAATTATCTAAATCACTGGTTCAGTCAGTCAGTCAGACAGTGGTAATCCAGCTATACTTTCATCCGATATGTCACTTAATTCACTGACAATTATCAACCGCTGCACTCCAAAAGCTTCACAGTTAAAAATTATATGAGCAATATCAGCATTGGCATTGGAACAATAATTACATTCTGAGCTAGTTACAATCTCTAGTCTATTAAGATGGGCTGGAACTAAGCAATGACCGAATCGCAGGCGATTAATTACAGCTATGAACTTTCTGCCGCAGTACTTGAATCTGTAATACCAGGGCTCTATTGGTATGTCTTTTTGTATTTCTGCATACCACTTTCCTTTACTTTCCTTAGTTTTATCCCAATATTGCAGCCACATTCTTCGTGTGTTTCTTTTCAATAATTGGTAAAAATTAGTAAATGGTACTTTTAAAATCTCCGTATGATCCTTATCGTGGTCTTGCAGAGTTGTCAAATCCACATACAATATAATCTTTATTTTAATTTATATTTTTTTATATTTATTTATATTTAATTACTTTAATTTGTTTGGAGAACTCCGAGCCAAATTGTATACTTTGACCGGGCAGCTGGGGTCTGACCTTAGAATAATAACGCATAGAAACCTAGCCCGCACACGCTAAGTCAGGCAAGTTAAAGGCTTCCCAACGGGCTCCCAGGAGCGCGCGGGCTGTTAGTGCTCAAGGTCAAATTGCACCGCGAACAGCTCCAAAATTTTTTGCTAAAAATGACGAAATGTGCGGTAAATGGGTGTAAAAATAGAACAGACAAACATAAAATAGACACTAACATCACATTCCACAAGTAAGTAATGCGTTTCAACATATTTTTATGTAATTATTCACTAAAACAGAAAAATAATTTCGCGGCAACAAGATACGAAAGTGTTGCAAAGTAACGAATTTTTTTTCTCCCCCATTTTGCTATTCTGTATCAAAATAAATATATTACGTAAATTTTAGTGGTGCCTGTAATTTCGATTTATTTGCGCATCTTGAACTAATATTTACTTGAATAAACATTAAATGTTTTCGGTAACTCCTGTAAGTGATTGGGACGCTTAATTATTTTATAATACTTTTAACGGCTCTGCGTTCATGCTTTATTGAATAATTATATATTTTAATTTTATTTGAATTGGAGCACATAGTGCAACAAATTTACAGTATATATTTGTTTCTACTATAGTGTTGGCACCACCAGTACAACTTTGATAGCTTATTATATGTCTTTCTTTTATATTTTATTTTCTTAAAAGGGGAGCATTCTTAAGCGATTTTTTAATCTATTTTAACAGTTATTTTCTTTAATGTTTGCTTATGGCATTTTCGGTTTTAGGTTTCGAATATGGCACTTATTTCTAAATCCAAGATGGCGGGCGCGATTTTTCGAATAATGGCAAGTTGGGTATCGTTTTCGAGATGTTTGGGAATGTTCAATACAAATATGGCACTCATTTCTAAATCCAAGATGGCAAACACGACAGTTCAAACAAAAGCAATATTCGTAATGAGCACCCCCAAATACCTCGAAAACGATACCCAACTTGCCATTATTTGAAAAATCGTGCCCGCCATCTTGGATTTACAAATAGTGCCATATTCACATTGAGCATCCCCAAATACCTCGAAAATGATACCCACATAGCATTTTTTTGAAAAAATCGTGCCCGCCATCTTGGATTTAGAAATGAGTGCCACATTCGTAATGAGCACCCCCAAGTACCTCGAAAATGATACCCATATTGCATTTATTTCAAAACTCGTGTCCGCCATCTTGGATTTAGAAATGAGTGCCATATTCGTAATGAGCATCCCCAAATACCTCGAAAAGAATACCCATATAGCATATTTTGAAAAATCGTGTCCGCCATCTTGGATTTACAAATAAGTGCTATATTCGTTTTTCATCGACAAAACCGACCATATCTGTAGGCACCTGATCGACATTGGCGATCGACAGTAACGATCGACAAAATCGAGCACATCTGTAGGCACCTGATCGACAATGTCGGGCAAATCTGTAGGCACCTTCAACTTAATGATGAGTTAAGCAAGATACAATTTCCCCACTTTTGAGGGAAATGTTATTCCATGGCATTATTATTTGTATATTTGTGTGCGTGCCGACGAGCGTAGTTACAAGTTTTGCCTCACTTGTGACAGTTCGTTTGATATGAAACTATCATTCTATGCGTTATTATTCTAAGGGGTCTGACCTGATGCGGAACACATTTTGAAAGTGTCGGTACCTTTTATGCTCACCTAATCCATCCGTCCATTACTTCTCTGCATAATTTTTACCTACTCGCCCTTTGTTGATGAGGCGAAGGATGTATGTCAGGACCGAAGCAAGTGGAAGACTATTGTCTCCGCCTACCCCGACGGGAAAAAGGCGTGAAGTATATGTATGTATGTACTCGCCCTTAGTCTGGTTAAAAAATTACGCCAAAAGATAGACAGTTTAAATGTGTTTCGGCCATCTTGGAAAATTGCTGAATTAAAATTTCGAACACAGATTTGTATTGTGGGCTTCTATACATGCCCAGATATCGAACATGAGCCGGATCGGAGCAGATTTTTGTCGAACCGCCATTTTGAATTCGCCATTTTGAATTTTTTTTATTACCAGCAATTGGCTCTTACCACCTTCTATCACATTTGTTAGAGCGCACTCCACTTATCTCCAATACTCGCCGAGATGTGGGCCTCCAAACACATTGTCCTATAAAAAATGTATGGCGGCCATCTTGGAAAATGGCGTGAATAAAATTTTGACCACAAATTCGTATTGTGGACTTCTTTACATGGCCAGATGTCGAATTTGAGCCAAATCTGAGCACATTTTTGTCGAACCGCCATTTTGAATCCGCCATTTTGAAATATTTTTTTACCACCAATTGGCTCTTACCATCTTCTATCATATTCGTTTGAACGCGCTTCACCTATCTTCAATACTCGCCGAGATGTAGGCCTCGAAACACATTAGACGGTAGAAAATGTATGGCGGCCATATTGGAAAATGGTGGAATCAAAATTTTGACCACATATTATTTTTAGGAACTACCAGACATGGAAGTGTTTAAGATTTCAGCTGGATCGGAGCACCTTTTTGTCGGGCCGCCATCTTGAATCGGCCATCTTGAAAAAAATATTTCAACAGTCAGTTGGACTCTGGCGTGCTCTACAATATTAGTTTGAACACGAGTCACCTATCTCCAATAGTTTCCGAGATAGAGGCTTTCAAAATTTGTAAGGCGGCCATTTTGTTTTTCGAATTTTGAACTTTTTTCACTTTCCTTAAAAATTGCCCAGGGTGTGTATGAACATTTGTTTGGGCACTTTGAGCCTAGACGTATACTTTGGCCGGACGGCTAGGGTAGTACCTGATGCGGAGCACATTTCAAAGAGTTGAATAGTTTTTGACGTTCATATGACCGATATAACCATTACTCTCCTACATCACTTGTACCTATCCACCCTTCTTCTGGGCGAAAAATGACTCCAAAGGGCGAAAGTTTCACATGTATGGCGGCCATCTTGGAAAATGGCGGAATCAAAATTCTAACCCCAGATTTGTAACTTAAGCCCCCATACACGTCCGCATGCCAAATTTCGGCCGGATTGGACCACCTTTTTTTCGGGCCGCCATTTTGAGTCGGCCATCTTGAAAAAAAATTGTCACCGGCAGTTGACCCCCGCCGCCCTCTATGACATTTGGTCGAGCACACCCCACCTACCTCTTGTAGTTTTCGAGATATAAAGCTCTGCAATTTGTATGGCGGCCATCTTGTTTTTACGAATTTCGAATTTTTTTCACTTCCGGTAGAAACTGACCAGGGTGGCGGCCATTTTTAGTAAGAACACCTTTCCGGTAGGTCTTATACTTTAACCGCGCGCGTAGGAGTTTACCTGATGCAGTCCACTTTTCGAAGATTTCGGATTTTTCTGGTACTCACGGGACCGATCCGTCTACGAGTCTAGTACATTATTTTTACCCACCGGCACTCCTTCTGGGAGAACAATTATGTCAGTATCTAGATCAGTGGTAATCGAGCTATACTATATAGTATAATATGAAAAATATGACGATCGTCGCCAGTGTCAATTTTCCATTATATGTAACCAAGGGTTGGTGAAGCTGTCACTGTCAAGAGTAAACTCGAACCATTAACGAATTTAAGAAATTAAATTATGTTGTTTTTTTATGAAGGATATATGAAATTTTCTATAATTGTTTCTAATTTATTTTGCATGCACAAATAAAGCTGATTTTATTTTATTTATTTTTTAAATTCATTTGCTATGGAAATTGAAACAAAGTCAGAAATAGTAATAAGAAAACCAATCTTTCGATTTTCCTGCAGCTTCAATACAATAAAAACAAAAATAGCCCTAGGAAATGAAACTATTTTTCCGGATTTAAATCGCGTATATTTATTTGTTTTTTCAAACAAACCGACGTTACGGGCCCTTTACAGGTCCCATGGTCACGGTTGACAAAGAACAAATATACACGATTTAAATCCGGAAAAATAGTTTCATTTCCTATGTGTAACAATCGCGTAAACCTAAGAACTCGATAATAAAACAACTATTGGAAACTGTTTTGTTGAGATTTTTATAGTATTTACACTTCCGCTTCCGGACCTGCGGTGTGCGTGCAAACAAGCATACGGCCCGCCTGATGGAAAGCAATCAGTACCATCGCCTATGAACGCCTACAACACCAGGGGCGTTACGGGGGCGTTGCCTACCCTTTAGGACTCTTTGCAAACCGCTTTTATAGGACTCTTGCGAGAAAACCCCGGCAGAAAATTAATTCCACAGCCTAATTGTACACACCCAGACGCGATGTCACATTTTTATGGAGTAATATTACTTATTATATAAATAAAAACGCCAAATAGGATACGTAATCTTTGAACGTAATGAAGATAGTTTTATATTGCAGCATTTTAATGCCACGTTGGCGAATTGCAGATGATGACAGGAGAGGACGACGTCACACCAATGTTGCGCTTCTCTCGCGGTACAGTCATCAACGGTTGCGGCGGATGTCCCGCGGTGGGATGTGCGCGGTCGCACGTCGAGATTCGCGCAGCCACTTTCTGCACGGCGCATGTACTCAGCGCCTCCAACTTGTGGAAAGTGGCCGTTAAGTTCGGCAAGAGCAGCGAAATTTTCATAATACATTCCTCTTTTGAAGTGAGATTTGTTCGTGTCAGCTTTTCCTTAGAAAAACCTACAGGGTACTGCGTTGCTGGGTATACAACACACCGCCTCGAAAGCACAGATGTGTGACGACGTAATGTCACATGTCGACTATAAATTCTGCAGTTCTGCTGCGGCGTCGTGTTTTATCCGACTAATTAAAGTTGTACAAAGTAGCACTAGCCTCTAACGGTAGCTACTTCTAAATAACTAACTGGAGTATTCTATTCATTTGAATATCATGATGTTATACAACGATGATATTCACATATTATTTGTAAAAATACTCCACTACGGGCCTACCGCTTAACTGAATCGGTTCCTGAAGTACCTGCGCGGTGCGGGAGGAGTGACAGTTTACGCGCAGATTACTTAATAGTTACTACGTAACAGACACGTCAGTCTCATATAAAATCGAAAATACCTACGCTATAATAGCCTACTAAATCTGACTAATGACGCCAGTCTCGCACTAGGAGGAAAAAGGAGCCTCTGCACCCGCCAGAGAGGTGAAAATAACGTTAGCCGTCGTGTGCAGTCGTGCGAAACCAAATGCAAGGATAATAATGTAAATGAAACGCTTGACAGCGCGCTTGCACTGTCGGCTATACTATTATTATATATATTTATATATTATTAGGATGCTGATGGGGCTGCCGCGACACTGTAGTGCATCCGGCATGTTCACGGAGGCGCACACAGATGGCTTTCATGCCATTATGCGCAAGAAGGCTGCCTCACTTATGATGCGTGTGAGCGGCAGCGCTAATAGCATCCTAGCCGTTGTTGCCAATAGGCTGGACTGCCCCTACCAACTACATTGGGTGCAACTACACGTGCGTAGGGTAGTGGTCTAGACTCATTTTTCACTAAAATTAAGTAATTGTGTATTTTACTAACCATAGCACGTAAGAAAAATTTACTGTATTACTAACATTATTATGGATCATGGTCCGAAATAAATAATTCTATTCTATTCTATACACTCAGCGATAGGCACTTATCGCGTAACCTCGAGCGACTGACGGAGTCAGTCAGTGACTGGTTAATAATATAATAATTAATAAGGGTTAGTTAATTGAACAATACATAAGGACAGCGACACAAAAACAAGACAACATTTATTTTCTATACGACCACATGTAGTCGCATCCAATGCGCGAGTAGCGGAGGTCCCAGCGTGCGGACAACGAGATCAGGATGCGGTTGGGGCTGTCGCGCAGGTGGTGCCGCATCGAGGCGCACCTCTTGCGTATGATGGCTGCAAACCCGTGGCGCTACATAAGCGCGATAGCCCCAGCAATACCCGGAACGCGTTGTTATATTGCACGCGCAGGCCGTTGTATGTCTGACTGCACGTGTAAAAAGATTGGCAGTAGGCTTTAAAAAGCGTTTTCTTTACTTGTTTTGTACATCGTGCAAATCTACGGGCCGACATATTGGCTCGAACAGCCAACGACCTGCGCTCCCTCTCGATGTCGATCAGAAAGGTCATCCGTGACCCAGTGACCCAAGTACTTAAACCTCGTAACCATATTCAAACGAGCGCCATTAAGTGTTATATTAGGTACAGTAGAGTAACACTTAGTACTTGCCTTAAAAATCATCAGCTGGCTCTTCGTAACATTGTACTTGAGTCCGTGGGTGTGACCCACGGACTCAAGTATAGCGTATGACTCACAAACTTGCAACATAGACATAGTCCTCGAATCGAAGGGCTGAGCAGCACCACGTCGTCCGTGTAACTGATGTTATTAACACAAACTCCGTCAATATGACATCCGACATTAGTGCTGCTCAGCTCATCAATGAGTCTATTAATATATAGGTTGAAAAGTTTGGGTGAGGTGAGGCCCCCCTGCCAATCTATAACTGTCCGAAGTAGCACTTCCACATCTGATACAGTTGCTTTGATTATTGTACCAAAACCTAAACAAGGAGGACATTGTATTATATGACAGATATAATACAATGTCCTGCTGCACAAAGAATAATTTCAAGAAGATTTTTCTGACGATATTCAATAACAAGTTAATTGTAAAAATTGGCAATGGCTTGTCTATTCATTTTAATTATCAATGAAGCAGTTTTTTTATTATCATGTCACTCAAGAACAATTGACTAATTTGGTAGGCACTTTTTTCAATCAACTTGCTGTTGAATAACGTCAGAAAAATCTATTGAAATTATCCCGCGTGCGTCATAGCTGTTACGTAAATTGTCACTCCTCCCGCACCGCGCAACTACCTCAGGAGCCGACTCAGTTAAGCGGTAGGCCTGTAGTGTGTTATTGATACAAAGATTGATCAAGGCAAAAAAGTCCTTCGATCTGAATGGACCGAGTCTGTCATTAGCTCAGTTGGAAGAGCGGTGGCCCCAGCACTGGAAGAGACGCTGGTTCAAGTCCAGTTACTACTAGACCAGGGTATCTTAACATTTTTCTAGTCATGGACCCCTCTCAAAATTTCAAAGAGCCCACGGACCCTTTCCGAAAAGATGAAGGAGAAAGGCTCGCGATTGGCATTCACGCGTGCCTCGCTCGCTCCTCTCTCGGGCAAGACAATTCAAAAAGGTCACGCGCACAGTACCTTTTTAACCACAAACAACATATTGTATACCAATTTTTATATAATACATTGGTTATGTTAGGTAGGCTCGCCATGGACCACAGGTTAAGAAACCCTGTTCTAGAAGTATTAATACTTTCAAACGTATTGCAGGAACATTTCGAGAGAGTACGAAGACACTATGAAGCGAGATATCATCCAACTGTGAAGTGAGTGACTTTTTCAAACGATAAAATATTTAAAAAAATAAGTGCGCATTTCGCCTCCGTCTCACCTGAAGTGATGATGAGGTCGACGATGTAGCATGCACAAATAAAAATAATGCCTATTCACTCTCGTCTTGAAAAGGTCCTAGTTATTGCGTTTGGGGAACAAATCCCTTAGTAGGGAATTCCACTCTCTAGCCATTCGCCGTATAAATGTGGAAGCGAAACAATTCGTGCGATTCCTGGGAATATCTACAACACAGGGGTGCTATTCCAGCCTACGTGTAGTCCCCCGATGATGGAAAGGGGAAGGCGGGATCAAATTATGCAATTCCATCGCACAATCTCCGTGATATATCCTGTAAAATACCGATAAGTAGGCAACTTTACAGCGGTGTTCAATATCTATAGCTTCGCCTCTAATTTAATTTAATTAAACGCAATACCTCCTAGGAGCTTTATACGTTTTCCAAGGGTTGTGAAACTTCTTCGACAAGGTGGTTTCGTCAAGATGTTTTCCTTACCGCTAGCAATAGGTATTGCTACTAAACATGTACAAATGCGTATAACTTCTATATTGTCCAAACGTTCGTAGAATTTTTATCGAGTCGATTATACCCATAGATGTAGGAAAAAAAATGTCTTTGATTATACCTAAGGAGTTGCGCTCGGACACTTCTTTAATCCATGTATTTTGTTAAACTTCATTAGAGTATTTTCGATGTCAACTATGTTAACTATTACGCATGGCAAGCGCCCGAGTTTTAACCCGGCTCTTTGTTAACGCCGGCATTAAATCGAGTTAAAACCCACTAAACCCCAAAATTGAGGGCAAAACTGTTTGCACTAAATATTTGTTATAAATCGAGTTTTGTTAAAATTTAATGATGTTGTTAAAAATGGTTATTGCTTTCTGATCTAGACGATTCGATTTGATCGTATTACACTTGAATCAATCCTCATAACAATCGAATCGTAAAGAGAGAATCCACTGGATTGCCAGGTAAGTATTGCGTGGAGTTGCCTCTTTTTCGTTTAAAAAAAATTTTTTACATCGAAATTGGTAATTAAGTATGGAATTATACCAAATTCCGTATACGCCGTTTCTGCCCACAATCTTGGTCAGAATTAGATTAAAATCCGGTGCTATACGTAAAAACCCGGTTAAAAACACAGGCCGGGTTGACCCACTGCCGATCTTTGATACCATTTTGTGGATGATATTGTTTGAAAGGTAACAACAGATAATTATCACTATTAAGGTACAAAAGTAGTATCCTGTACATGAAAAACAACCTAATGGACTTGAAACACGCTCGCGACGCCGACGGAAAGCTGCTTCTGGAACGCATTGACGTATTCCTGGAGATTGCTGGTTGCTACGTCATGAGAAATGTATGTTATAATAATGTCATTTGCATTTTCTTTTCTTTTGAAATCTGCCATCAGTCAACCAGACTATAATCAGATGAGTTAGAAGATATAGTGCGTTCCAGAAGATAAAGGCCATTGCCTTATCTCCCCTTAATTGCTCAGCACATCAGCTCTTTTCCGTCTTCTAATTGTTTTTGGTAGCAACAATATTTAGCACAACGGGTCCAGGCATCGCCTGTAGTAAACCGTTGGCATTTCCAGATAGTTGTGTATTTCGGAGTTGCGCGCGTACCAGGGTGCAGTAACCCTGAGAATGTTGTTTTGGGCTCTTTGGAGGCTAAGTAAATTTGTTTTGCTAGCTGAATCCAGATCGATTTTGTTACACTGCAGTACAGTCTCCGTTTATGTCAGTTGCATTTGTGTATTATAAAACTTAAAAAACTCCGATAGAAAACAGCATACTCCAAAAATTCACCATTTGTCAAGCAAGTACTCGTCGAGACCAATTTATTGAGCTAAAACAGGACAGTTTTACTGTAAGTATGTTATGATGCAGACCTCCTTCATCGACATCCCATCTTTTTATCTTTACTGGTTCCTGGGGGTCGATTCAGAACCTTACAATAACACAGTTGACGACCGATTTGTTTTCATTTTTATTCACAACACCAGAATCAAACGCCAAACTGTCGTATTCGAAACCGTACCGAAATGACGTCACACACCCGTACGATTAGGTACTCGAACTTCTCGACCGGCAAAGGCTGCAAACGTTATTCAGAACACAGCTATCGAATGAAAGTTACCGAAAGTTCTATTGTTTACAATCATTGACTTACAATTATATGGACGTCGGGTCCGCGCTAAAAAGTGTCCGAACTTATAGGGCGTTAAAATCGTATACAGACCGTCATTCACGCTTTAGTCTTCGTTTGTTTGACTGACAGCGAAGCAAGCAAAATTAGACAGTACTGCGATGACATTACAATTTAAAAGCTTTTTCATATTCCTTTACATGTCACTACGTTTAAATAGGTTGACTTGGGACATTTTTTTGGTGGTTTTTGTATTAGACCCGTCGTCCATTTTTTGTAAGTCAATGTTTACAAAGCAAGAATGTAATATGGAAATCTCTTGTTATTTAAGTTTGGACAGATGGAAAGTGTGGATTTTTGTTTAATTGTATTAATTTATTTTAATGCAAGGCCTTTAAAGTCTTAAAAATGTATATAAAAGAATTTTCATTTTTCTTATAATCTATTTCACCGACTAACTCCGTAAACGCTGTTGGATAATGATATCGTATCTGAATCGGATTCGAATGTTTAACTCGAATGTTCTGAATAGCTTGGAAAGCGTTTTTCGATTCAAGAACGTTATCCAATCGAATTCGGTAAAAAAATCGAAGAACTCTGAATCGGGATCCTAGCCACTTACTCTTAAAATTTTGAATCATTCTCGATTTCTTTTCCTTCCACTATTCTTACGTTGGTTCGTTCAGTCATCACTCCCATTAAAATTCTCGAATCGTCATGTAAAGCTAAACTTCACGTAATTTAACTGTATTAAAGCATTGGATGTATATACGTATATAGGGCCTCTTGGGGTAAGTGCCTCTGTTTAGTACTACTGAAAAGGTTGTAACCCTAACTAGCCGTGAACAGGTTCACGGCAATGAAATGGGAAACTTCCGGTCCACAAAATTTATTAAAGAAGTAAAGTTTAAAGAAAGGCTGTAACAATATAAAGGTAAATGTAAAAAAACAGTTATAACCATGTTATAACAGTATAAAACACTCCCTACACTTTATTATTAAGGCACTTACCCCTAAATGGACCGAGAAACTGAATTACAGAAAATAAATACATGAAGGATGTAGATTTATAAAATATTACACATGATTAGCTTATTAACAGCTCTGACTGTTGTGGCGGTCGAGCTGGGAGTGACCGTGGTACGAAAACAAAATGAGAAAGTGAAGGAAGGTGGAACAATTCAAATTTAAAATTTAAATACAAGTAAAATAAAAAATGATAGGATACAAGAGGAGAGAGGCGATACAAAAAGGTGAGATGACGGTAAAGGAGGTCACACCGTCACACTAATAAGGAGTGCTATATTGTTTGTACCTTTATATATAATTTTCTTTTCCCATCATTTTCTATTTCTAATAAATTTATGCGGACCGAGCCCTTCTTTAACTTTTGCCGCTTTAGCGCCCCAGCGAAACGTGGTATATCCAAGTCAAACTAGTCTCCGAAATTATAGGCCCGGCCAAAGCTTGAGAAATGTGCATATTTGAAATTGTCTTAAAGTTTTAAGACAATTTCAAATTTCTAGTCGTTTGGATAAGTGGAAGTTTCATGAAGTCATTTTATAACAGACATCCCTACTCTGACGGAGAAAAGAGCTGATGATCTTTGAATAGCAGAACTGATGTTCATAAAACACAGCTAACAACCATCCCGCATCAATTAGCCTTCAAATAAAGAAAAAGCGCTTTGAGACGTCGCACAACTTCCTTTTCGTTCGTATTACATGAACATACAGGTTTTTAGACCGACTTAAAACTTATGGTGAACTGTTGGTTCCACTCTTGGTTTCACTGGTAGGTCTAGTAGAATTTTCAAGTACGTACGTTCCCACTTAGGTGGTAGACCCAACGACAGCAATTTTTAATAAGTAATGCAATTTTTTTTTAATTACAGTTAGTTTCACGTTGGTCAAAACATGATATTAAGATAATCCATCTATTACATTATAGCGAAATGACTCTTCTCTGATGGATGAGTCGGACCGCATCTGCCTCCGATCCACGTTTCCTTGCATCTTGCAGCCTGTGTCCTCCTTACTCGTGGCGTGGAACGCTTTCGTGGCGTTGCTGACATTTGTGGTTGCAGTGGTGACGTTATCTTAAACTGTTTTTCCCTGCTTGAGTCTTGATTCCATTTCTTATTTGGCTTATTAGCAAATGTCTATTTACACAAATACAAAACTAATTGTTTATTGCAGACGCACCCGTATAATCTAGTTCACAAGCGAGAGATATCTCGTCAATTTCGATTCTTCGATTATCTAGTTAGTGGGATCTTTATTCTGGATATCATCACGCATCTCTCCACGGGTGATAAAATTGAAGACGGTGTGTAACAATGACTTCCGGATTGATAACACATTTAGATCTTGCACATACTTTTAAGTACAGGATTCAAATAAATTATTTTTTTATAATACAACAAGTCGTGCGCTCCTAGTGGTAAGCGACACGCCTATTCATAACAGTTGCAGTGTCAGTCAGAGCTTTAAATCGTAAAGATCTTAGGGTGGCGCCCGTCACCTTAGCCATAAGTTGACAAGTCCCATATGCCTGTAATTTCACCAGGACCCTTACCCTTCCAAATCGGAACGGAGTAATGCTGACATTACTGCTTGGCGGCAGAAATAGGTACGCTGGCAGTACTTCCCTGGACGTACTGAGTACTAGAAGCTCCCAGCAAAGTGTACGATTTTGAACACTCGGGTGTAGCCCTAGCTGCGTTTTGATATGACTACACAATAAAAACTCCAATCTAAGTTCCCGTTACTAAAAATTTCTTCGATGAAAGATTTCGGAAACAATGTGACACCTGCATAAGAAAGTCTGCGAATCACGTTTTAAAATGAAAACCACAGAAGATAGAGAACTAAAAACATTACAATAAAAACGATATTGAAATAAACATTGTAGTAAGTTGTCATTGGGGTGGCAGAGGGAAATCAGGTTTTCTCCAATATGGTGGTTTTATTACACAACATATACAGTACATACAGTCCAGGAGGTATAGTGGGAAAGGAGTGCCCCTAATGGCACGTAGTCGAGGACCCATACATAAGTTCCAATTAGGAAGCGGCTCAGGGTGCAACAACTAGTGCAACGTTCTAAAGCGCAGTTCCAATAAGGAAGCGGCAGCGCTAGAAGCGTAGTAAGGTGCAGTAGGTTCAACAGTAATGATCTAAAGCGGAGTTCTAAACAAGGAAGCAGGGCAAGATTAATGTTCGCATCGCCGCCAGTAGTCGTTCTGCGAGGGTAAATCTTAACACCGCGATGCAGAAATTGCTATTTCGATGCCAATGCCATCTAGCGGTGCGTGACGGAACTAATATGAGTTGTTGCACAGACCACATAAATACTAGTTGTTGCCTGTTATGTGATTTTGTTACAACATTCGATTGCTTCTCAGGACTGCCGATCTCGTTCAAGCAGACGTCCATTCATCAGATGAGAACCATTTGGTTCGGACTGGATGTGCTCGCTGTTTTGCCTATATTCGAATTTGTCGGGAACAGTTTCTTTACAGGCATCAATAAACTGTGCAAATTGCCCAAGGTAAGCGCTACAGAGGACTTGTTATCGTCAGCTACAACGTGAATCGTCTAATATATGATCTGACTTGTTAAAAGACTCCATTAAAAAAAAATTCGAAAATTTCTAATAACTATTCAATCCACATTATTTTTTATCATAATTACGCGAGACCTATGCAAATCTTAATTTTTTTATTCGTTTAAGCAGCAATGTAGTCTTTAAATTAGAATAGAATAGAAACCATTTTTTACAAAACGCCACAAAACGAAAATGCACGGTAAGACATTAAAAAAAAAGATAAAGCTAAATTAAAACAAAAATAAAATAGAATAACAAAAAATAAAATAAAATAAAATAAAAATAAAATCTTAGTAATAAGTAATGAAATGACCACAAAGATAGTCAACTCTATTGTTTACTAAGTATATGTCATGTGTGCGGCTGTGGCTTATGTAAAAAGATCCATTCTGCTAATGTCACCATCAAGAAAAGGCTGTGACGCTGATTTTCAATTTATTTCTGATTTGAAATTAAATGTATTCTATTATGGCAAATAATACTATAGACTTGCCATTAAAGATTAAGATTAGATTACCAAAAATACCGAAAGTAAATTTTTCGGGAAACTGCCAAAATAGATTTAAAATAAAAGTAAAATTAATTTAACATTTTTCATATGAAGTACAATAATATGGCACCAACCAATGGCATATACGGCTAGTGCCACTATGTACTTTTATTCCAAAAATTACTTCTAAAATTACATCACTTTACAGTGAGGGTGCGAGCCGTGTTTATATTTATCTTTCGTGATTCGTCATGATGCACTCTCACGTCATGACAAGCATTCATATCTGTCGTGTTCTGACGCCTTCTGAGGACATTTTGAATCATTACCATCGTCTGACGCGTCACAACACTGGCGCGCGCACACTAATTCGATCTGACGTGATGGAGCC